GGCAGGGGCGGGGCTAGGGCGGGACTCCCTGGGTGCACACCCTAATGAAATGTGCTGCACACGCCTATGGATATGAGCAACACATCTCGAAGAACAACAGTTACAGAAAGGTAAGTAACCATTTTTTTCAGTATTGCCAATCTCAAGAGATCAAAAATCATGAATCAGACTCCCCCAAATTATGAGATTGGCCCAAAAATCATAAAGCTTTTGTTTTTTTTTTAAAAAGGTTATATTGTGTTTTTTAGTCTCTCTTGATTTTTGAACACCACCTACCAATCCCTAGTGCATGTGATAATTCGGGAAGCGCCCCTCTACCAGCACCACCCGCCAATAGCCTCACCGCCCATTGGCATGGCCCCGCCTCCTAATAGTGCACGTCACAAAGGTCGCTACAACTCCGGCCGCTGCTGTCCCTCAGCCTTCACGACAGTCGTAGCCCCGCCCCCTCCGTCTTGCAGGCTGGTAACGGTCCCTTCAGTCCGCCCACTGCTTAGTGCGCTTGGCGCATGCGCGGAGCAGTGGCGGTCGGACCGCTCTCAGCCCTGAGGGGTGGCCATGGCCGGGCAGCTAGAGTCGGTGCCCGCGGTGGAGATCGATCCGGACGGCACGTTCAAGTACATCCTGGTGCGGGTGCAGCGCGTGGGGGGAGCCGAGCACCGGGACGTCGTCAGGGGCACCGCGGCCGCCGAGTTCCACAGTGAGTCGGTGCCGCGAGCCAAGGCCGGGCGGGGGGCAGAGCCCAGCTGGCGCCTCATGCACCGCCCGGACCGATCGCCCCCTCCGAACCGCTTTCTTGAGGGGGGAGCCGGCTGCCCCGCCGCGGCCCGCTCCTCCCCTGTTGCTGCTGCTGCACGTCTGGGGTGGCCCGGCTCCCGCAGAGCTGCTGCTGCGCGGATAGCGCTCTCCCCACTGAGCGGGGCGCTGTTCTTACCCCCTTCCCTCCTCCCCAGCGTCTCTATCGGGGTTGCCCTGGTTGCTCCTAGGCCTCGGCCGCACTGGGGGGCTGTGCCTGTGCAATGCCTCCTGTGGCTGCGCCGCGACGTGCTCTGGTGTCCAGCCCTGGTACATTTCAGTCAGAAACATGAACTTGTGAGCAGCCTCTGACTTGGTGAGACAGTGGAACCGGCAGCCACTGTTCTGGGATTTGCTAGGGCCCAGCTGCGTAGGTAACAACGGGTCTTTTCCTTCACTTACCAGCTTCCCCAAGGAAACCGGAAAAAAATACTAGGTAGCTGAAAAGAGAGGACTGGAAGTAATCACCAAGTGAAACCTGAGTTCTGGTTAATGGATTGAACTGGCTTCATTTTGCAGATCATATATTTGAAAAAGTAAACCCTGAAATGGAAAAGTTGGGCTTTGAATGCAAGTGCCTTGGAGGAGGAAAAATTGACCATAATAGCAAAGACAAGAAAATGAGGGTATTTGGTCTCTCCACAGTAAGTGCCATGTATTAGTTTCCTTGAAAATTCAACATTTTAGGGCTCTATTTAAAAATACTAGTAATTCTCAGCACTCTGATGGATCACTTATAAGCATTAATTAGTTAGTCCATACAGCTCACCTGTGAAGTGGGTAAAGATGGCCTATTTTAGATGGGGAAACTACAGCACAGAGGTTAGATTGACTTACTCAGTCACACAGTAATTGGTTCCAGGGCTGTAATTGGAACTCAGCAGCTCCTGACTCACAATCCTGTACTGTAGCTATAGAGCATGCCTCTGTGTATGTATCACTTAGGGCTGGTCCACACTAACCCCCCAGTTCGAACTAAGATACACAACTTCAGCTACGTCAATAACGTAGCTGAAGTCGAAGTATCTTAGTTCGAACTACAAGGTACTTACCGTGGGTCCACACGCGGCAGGCAGGCTCCCCCATCGACTCCGCGTACTCCTCTCGTGAAGCAGGAGTACCGGTGTCGACGGCGAGCACTTCCGGGATCGATTTATTGCGTCTAGACAAGATGCGATAAATCGATCCCAGAAGATCGATTGCTTACCACCGAACCCGGGGGTAAGTATAGACGTACCCTTACTTACATGGTTCAGTATTTAAATACATTCTGTTTATAAAATGACCAATAGAAGCAATGAATTATCCATATATGTGGAACACACTGCAGTCTCCATCCCACCTCACCACTGCAGAGAGTAGATGATAAGAAACAAGGATTTCTTGAGCTACTGATGTGGACAAGAGCAGACTAGTTCCATGTGATGTAAAGACATGTTATTTGAATCCTGTATAGAAAGTAGCAGTTCTTCAAGGTCACTTTTCCTCTGGGTCAATTATAGCCCCAAACCGGATTAAACTTTTTTTTTTAATTAGGGCTCTTTCTCAGATATCATATTGTGGGGGCAAAGCTCTATGGAGAGGGGAGATGGCATGCAACATTAGGGGTCTTCTAGAGCCTTCTCATTATTCGTGGCAGAATCAAACAATTCATGACCAAACTCCTGGATTAATGGTGGTGGTGTGCAGCACAGGCAGCAGCATCTCTCTCTTCTGCCACCAAGATAGTGGGAGAAGGGGTAGTCAGCTATACCCCACACCTTGTTTGCCCACCATTGTCAAGTGCCCTGAACTGTACAGAAGCATGCTGTGTAACTGCAAAGTTTCACTTTGTCAGACAGAAAAACGGAGATACAGAAAAGCTGATTGGCACTCTGGAATAGCAGGTTACATCTTGGCCTGTAAATCAAAGCAACTTGGCTCTTGTCCTGGTTTTTTGTTGTGTGACTTTAAAAATAGGGAAGTAGTTATGTTAAATGGGGCCATTGATACTTAGCTCTTGGGTAAACTATGAGAATTAGAGAAATGCTTGAGGAATTCTTTGAAGTGAACTCTGTGGCTGGGATTAAATAGATTGAGCTCCTTGAGGCTATCACTATAAGGCAATGATAGTACCTTTCCCCAGTCCCCTGTAAAGCAATGTCTGAGCCAGCACTGGAGCTCAGCTACTAGCTTCCTACATTATTGGGGGTGGTAGTCGGCTTAGACAATAATTTAATAGCAGTACACGTTCAGATGCAAAAAGTCCAAGCTTTCTAACCATTAAAACACAAATTGTCAATATCACATGTCAAAATATACAAAGTAAATATCCTTAAATCAAACTAAGTTTTCAAGCAGCATGTTTCTTTCTTTGCCTATCTGTACATTTTGATTATTATCAATGAAAATATTTTTTGTGTATATGGTGAAATAGCTTTTTAATTGGTAAATATCGAATTCTTCCAAGGCTACTTATGTCTGATATAGCCATGCTTGTTTATGTGGGCAAACCTTGTGTGTAGAAAACAACTTTTTGTATTAGTTGTATAACATGCAGTTTAGATGTCAATTTACTTGTGTGGTCCTCTTGGAGCAGAGTTAAGGCCTCTTGTGGTCACTTAGTGAGAATTAATGAGTTGTTAAGTGCAACCTTAACTCTGATTTTCCTGAGTGGTAGCCGTGTTAGTCTGTATCAGCAAAAAGAACGAGGAGTACTTGTGGCACCTTAGAGACTAACAAAGTTATTTGAGCATAAGCTTTTGTGGGCTAAAACCCACTTCATCCGATGTATGCTGATGCCTACTTTGTTAGTCTCTTAAGGTGCCACAAGTACCTCGTTCTTTCTTCTGATTTTCCTGGCTTCTGACTCTGAAACATTTTAATTCAGATATTCTTGAAAGGTAATAAACAGAACTAGCTTCACCTCAGTGGGACTTCTGTGCAGGGGGAAGCATAAGGCCATAAATCTGGATATTTAAAATGTTAACTGGAACTTGATACTCTTGTAGCCTTATATTTTGCATCCCTTTAAAATCTTTTATCATCTTTTTTGCAGGGATATGGTAAAGCAGATCATGCAGTGACCGTAGAAATACTGAAAAAAGTATACCAAGACTATGAAATTACTTGGTCAGATGACAAGAAATGAAAAACTACTCTGGAATCTGAAATACAAATCAGTTTGCACTCTAGCTGTTGATATAGTATTGAAGTCTACATTGTGTTCAAATAAATCACTGTTAGCTTTATCTGAATAAAAAGATTTGTGTGTTCTCCATCCTTTAGAAATTGTACTGAGGAAAACAGAAAGCAGCATAAATGCTGACAAGGTTAAAAGTATAATAAGAAAGAATTTGAAGAGCAACTAGCTAAAGACAAACAATCAGCAAAATAATGTAAATAGGCTGCCTACCTCAGATGTATCAGTTAATAGGGCTACTGGACAATCCAGGTGCTAAAGGAGTACTCAAGCAGGACAAGGCTGTTGCAGAGAAGCTAAATGCATTCTTTGCAGCTGTCTTTATGCTAGAACAGTGTTTCTCAAACTGGGGTCCCCGAGAGTACACCAGGGGGTCCGTAGGCCATGCTGAGAAACTCCTCCCCCTCCCTCTCAGCACGCCGGGGAACAGGCTTCCTACCTGCCCTGGCTCTGCACTACTCCCAGAAGCAGCCAGCATGTCCCTGGGGGGGAGGGAGGAGCAGGGGGTCTCAGTGCGCTGCCTCCGCCCTGAGCGCCGACTCCGCAGCGCCTATTGGCCGGGAACTGTGGCCAATGAGCGCTGCGGGGGTGGTGCCTGCAGGCAGGGGCAGTATGCAGAGATCCCCTGGCTTCCCTGCCCAGGACCCACTGTCAGATGGATGGACCAGTCACTTTTGGGAGCTGCCCCAGGTAAGCGCCTCACCCCCTCCCGCACCCAAACTCCACCCCCAGAGCCTGCACCCCATCCTGCACCTAAACTCTCCCCCAGAGCCCGCACCCTAACCCCCTGCCGCAGCCTAGTGAAAGTTAGGGTGGGAAAGAGTGAGCGATGCATGGAGTGAGCAGGGGGCAGGGCCTTGGAGAAGGGGTGGGGCAGTGGTGTGGCCTCAGGGAATGGGGGCAGGGCAAGGCTGAGAAGGGGGATTGGGGGTCTCCGAAAAGTTTTAAATCAAAAGGGCGGTCCTTGGGTTGCTAAAGTTTGAGAACTGCTGCTCTAGAGTATTTGGGGCTCATTGTCACTCATGAGCCTTCTTTTTAGGTAACAAATCTCTACTGTCACTTCAATCTGAGGCATAAATTGATAAACAGTAATAAGTCATCAGGCCCAGATGGTATTTACCTAAGTTCCCTGTAAGCTGCACGGCCATGCAGCAGCCTTTTCAGTGCTGCGCAGGCGCTCAGGGAATCCGCCCGGGGACCTGCCGCTCCTGGAGGAGGGGCGCCCATCCTCCAGCCCCGAACCTGCCACGGCTGGGGTGGCCCTCCCCCTGAGACCCAACTATGCCGCAGCCCATACCTGCCATGGCTGGGATGCCCCTACCCTGGCCAGGGTGGCACGTCATGGTCTGGCCTCAGCTGTGGCCGGGGCAGCGCAGCATGAACCTGGGGGCCTGGCTCCAGCTGCCACTAGGACGGGCCTGGCTCAGACCTGTCGTAGGGCACCCCTTCCCAAACCCAGCCCTGGACCTGTTGTAGCTCCCTGAACCTAGTTCCAGCCAGACCTGCAGGAGCCGGTGGAGGGGTGCCTATCCTGCGGCCCCAGGCCCGGAGCTGCCGCGGCAGAGAGAGATACCTCTCCCCCGCCAGCCCAGGTGCTGCTACGGGGAGAGAGGGCTGGGGGGAGTCCTCTTTCCCTGCCGTAGCCCTGGAGCACTCTCCTGCACCCCAAACCTCTCATCCCCGGCCCCACCCCAGAGCCAGCACCTCCAGACGCAGCCCTCACTCCCCGCACCCCAAACCCTCTGCCCCAGCCCTGAGACCCCTCCTACACTCCGAACCCCTCAGTCCCACCCCCATCACATGAATTTTGTTATGTGTCACACATCCCCCTCCATATTTGTACACATAACAATTCATTCCACACATGGGTAGGAAAAATTAGAGGGAACACTGGTATTCACCCAGGAGTTCTGAAGGAACACAACTATGAAATTGCAGAACTATTAACTGTGGTCTGTAACCTGTTGCTTAAATCAGCCTCTGTACCACATGATTGAGAGTAGCTAATATAATGCTGGTTTTTGAAAAAGGTTCTAGAGGTGGTTGATTCTGGTAATTACAGGCCTGTAAGCCTAAATTCAGTATCAGGTAAACTGGTTGAAACAAGTAAAGAACAGCATTATTGGACACAAAGATGAATATGATGTGTTGGGGAAGAGTCAACACAGTGTTTGTAATGGACAATTATGTCTCACCCGTCTATTAGAATTCTTTGTGTGTCAACCAGTATGTGGGCAAAGGTGATCCAGTGGATATGGTGAACTTGAACTTTCAG